GGGGAGCCAGCGCTGCCAGAGCGCACAGCCTCTCCTCCCACGGCACCAGGAGCCACCAGAAATAGAGGCGCGAGAGAGTAACGCAGAAACGAAGCTTTCGACGAGCAACACAAAGCTGCCTACCGTTCCCCTCAGGACCTTGTTATCTGTTTGTGCAAACACGAAGGTACGTTCCCTTGGGCAATCTGGGCCTGTCTTCCCTTCCCCTGCTCCCGGCCGGGCTGGGATGGGGGGGAGCGAGCACGGCCCCTCCAAGCCTCGTGTTTAGGAGCGGAGGAACCCTCTCCTCGCTGGCTCCCACGCAGCGGGGCACCCCTTGGGTCTGCGCCACCCACCCCTGCCCAGCTCCCAGCGCCTTTACCGCAACATCTAACGCTGGGAATCAAAGCGGGCCGGGCAGGCTGGGACGGCGACGTGCCCGACGAACGGCAGCGCGTGCCGGGGTACGGGGGCAGCACGGCGGCAGTCCCCTCTGCTGACGGCAGCCCTCCGCCTCTAGCTTCCCTGCTTTCTGCAGGACCGCTGCTGCAGTGAGCGTGCTCGTGCAGTTTCCTCTGTTGTCCCTCTCTGTTGGGCAACGCTGTGGCTTGTGATAAAACGCGGGCTGGCAAGGCTCTGCTGTTTAACCTCCAAGCAGGTTGTGGCGCAGAGGGCTGGTGTGCCTCCTTCTCCTCTTCCCCCAGCACAGGGGGGCTGTCCAAATAGCCCCTCTGCCCAGAGCTGCCTGCAGGCCTGGCTTTCCCCAGCGGGTACCAAGCATCCCTGGCAGCAAGGGGACTGAGCAGCAGATCTGCTAGGAGACCTTGGGAGGAAAATGCTCCCTGGGAGTGCAGGCCTGGCTCTGTACAATTAACTAAATAGTGCCAGGGACGTTCCTGGGCACTGGCGCTCAGTCGCCCATGGCTAAGCTGCTGGTGTAATCCCTGGCACGGCTTCAATCCTGGCTACGATGCCTGGGCACAGCTCAAGAGGCAGCTCAGGCCAGGAACCGATCCCAAGAGGTGACTGGGGATGTGGCCACCCTGGTTTGAAGGGTAAGAGAATTTATAGGCAGAGTTCACACCCTCCCATGCCAGCTGGCTTCAGGATGAGAGGAGCCTGAGCCACGTTTAATTCACCAGCACTTCACCAGCACAGACTCAGTCTAGGAAAGCTGCTCTCTCTGTACTGCACAGCAGCGGTAAGTGGTCGTAGGGGTCAGGGATTCCCGAGCCTGCAGAACAGACCGGCCCTGAGCACCCCAGTGAGCTCACAAGCCTCGGGGCTGCGTGCACGTGTCCCGGAGCGCAGTCTCCCCGCCTGGGTGCGGGGCTGGTACACGAGTGATAGGGCTGGTACACGACCCGAGTGAGAGGTGGGGAGCGACCCAAGCCCCACATGGGAGGGTGGCGGGGGCAGCACCAACCTGATCTGTACATGCAAAGGGTGACACAGGACACAGCAGGCTGCTCCTTGCTCTGAATTTAATAGTAACGGGTGGCTTCGGACACACACGATGCCTTGGTGCAGCAGCCTCTGGCTGCCACCAGGAGCCATCCAGGGCTTGCGGCGAGTTCCTGGACACCACAGCACACCCGTGACTCTGCGTTCAGCCTCTGCAGCTAACCCATGCCATCCTCTCTAATAACTTAGGATAAATAAAGGAAGCGTTCAACCCCTCTCCCTCCCACCGTGAGCAGCGGGGCGGCGGGTCGCCCAGCAGCCCTGCCCG